CATGGTTATGTTTTCCGCTAAATATGGTATAATAAAGCAACACAAATTTTTTATATAAGATCTACATACTAGTATACATTCGTAGGTAGAAATTGTCTGTAATATTTGGGATGAATGTATGTGAACTCTCCGTCTTATTCGATGGGAGAACTCGTTTTTCAATGGGAAAATTCTCCTATTAGACAAGACGGATGAGTTCACAAACTCACCCCAAAAATGACGGATAACCTTTCTGTCCACGAGTGTACAAAAAGGACAACATGATCCTGTCAATGTTTATCCAATATGACGTTTTGACAATCACCTACACATTATCAACTTCTAGAATTCGTCATCCACCTTGACATCCCTTTAGGGAAGATACATCAGTATTTTGTCGGTAAAGTTTCACCAAAAGGTAACATCCCCTTAAGATCTGGCGTCTAAGAAATATTCTTGCAAATATTACCGCTAAAAGTGAAACTCGAAAACTAAAGTCGAATCCCACGGATCTTGGTAGCAAAGCCGAGGGTGAAACGTGCCGACTACTTACTTTCCAGCGTACTGGCCAGGCGTAGGAGCGTCAAAAGGAGTATACTGATCCGCAGCTCCATCGTTAACTCATATCTCACTCCACGTAAGCCGGTGTCTCATCCGATGCCACTTGGAGAAAGCGGGCACGATAAACCTCATGCTCCACGTTCCTCGACTGACGTCGCGCGATCGCGTTATCACCCCCGCACGACCTCGGCCATCATAATCATCGGCGAGCGACGTCGGAGCGGATCAAGAGGAGATTCGTCCTTCTTCGCAGTTCGCAGGACGCGCGCCCTCAGTGAGCATCGTCATCGAATCGCGCGTGCTGGCGAATCGAACTCGCGCTTGATCGAACGCAGGAAACGATCCCGATCGAACGTTCGCCGCATTCGAGACCCTCGCGGCGGGTCCAGCAATCGAGTCCCATATTCAGCCCGTGCAATCTGCGCTTTGCTAGTCGCGGAGGGAACGATCCCCAGCAGAAGAAGATGACGATGATGATGATGACGACGACGACGACGAAGAGGAGGAGGAAGTAAAAGAAGCGTCGCCGACAATTACTCGCGGCTCACGTCGGAGACTGCATGACGAATCTGAGCGAGGGTGCACGCACTTGCATGGTTGCACTTGCGTTGGAGCGTAGGGAACCC